CTCTCTCTGTCTCTCTCTGGGAAGCACACGCACCCTACGGCAAAAATCTAAAAAATAAATACGTAAAACAAGTGAGTATCATTGTAGTGAGCAATCATGGCAGGAATGGCTCTTATTCTCTGAAGGTCAAACACCAGGTAAGAGTCTCAGAAATCAGGAAAAATAATTTTAAAATGACTGCCATTTACTGGGCTTCTACTTTTGGTCAGACACTGCTCGATACTCACAAATACACTATCATTTAACCCTCAGAGCAAAATCCCCATGCAGAGGGTACTGTTACTTCTGTTCTTTTGGTGTGCAGATACCAGGGCTCAGAGAAGCATAAACTTGATTAAAATATAAGGTGAAACCAGGAGTTGAGAACTCTGTCTCCACAGCTCATGGTTTCTCTACTACACAACGCTGACTTACACACTCAGGAATGAGTAATCCCACATTCCCCAATTCAGAGTATCTTTCCTTTTATGACTATATTAGATGTAATCTTTCACCGGCAGATGACATTCACACCCTTCAGTATTAACCTTAAAATTCAGTTTCCTAGGGACCAGTAGTTGGCATAATGGCTATGTCACTGGACTCTACATAGTTAACCACAGTTCGAGTCCCAGACCCGGTGGCTTAAACTCACAGCAGGCGGGTGTGTGTGTATGCCCAAGATCCCAGGAGGAGAATGGAGGAGAAGGGATTGCGGTGTAGTCATCCACCCTGGGGGGTGATTTCTTGTTTTCTATCTGTCTCTCTGTGTCTTTCTGGTAGCACGCACGTCCTATAACAAAAACCTCTCCAAAAAAATTCAGTTTCTTAAATAAAAACACAGAGAAACCAACCTCTGTGAACAGTATAGAATCGTTTACTACTGCAGAGTTTTCTAGCACTTATGCAAGTTTTAATGAATACGCTGATTAAAAATGCCAATGACTAGACCTCTATATGAATGTTAAATCAATCTCTCTTCATTCCACAGTGCCTTAACACCATGAAACCTATGCCAACGTTTGTGGACTACCTACTGTATACACGGTCACAGACTGAGAGTGGAGCGAGAGTGCTCAGAGCAGAGCCCCTTCCTCTTGCCTCCAGGAGCTTGTCATGTTAGCATCAGAGATAAGACAAACACTGAAAGGACACTAAAAACAAAGTGAGTGACACAAACGTGCAAGTTAACTAACATAATGCACATTGGAAGTATATGTGCTAAGGAAATTAAGTATTTTCCCAGTGAAACTCCTCGAAGATGCGTATACAGAACATCGTTAAGGTAGTCAATAAATGATTGTGAAAATAAGAAACACCAAGATATCCTTGGATAATCAAGAGAGACTTATTCTTAGGTTCATTTTAAAATACTATTAAAATGCTAATCTACTACCAAAGGCAGAGTTAATGCAAAATTATAATATTTTAAATCAAAGTAGTTACAATTTTTGTTTCATCTTCTTACTAACATGGATATCTTTTACCACTATCTCTTAAGATCCCATTTGTTCAATTTTTTTTCTGAGTTGGGAGTTGCTAGACAAAAACTAGCATTATGAATAGAGCTAGACTCTAAACACATAAAACTGACAAAGTCAAGGCCAGGTGGGAGAGACAAAAGAAGAGGAATATAAATAAGGCCATTAATAAATAAAGGAGAACTACGGGGTTTTTTACAGAGATTTTTGTTATAGAGTATGTCCACTTGCTGGAGAGACAGAGAGACTGAGACAGAAAGTGAATAATCACCCCCATCCCGGGGTGGGGGGATAGCCATGCCACAATCCTTTCTCCTCCATTCTCCTCTAGGGATTTTGGGCATGCACATGGGCCTGGGTGAGGTTTTTTGTTTTTTGTTTTTTTTTTTAAGCCGCCGGGTCCAGGACTCGAACCATAATCAGCTATGGGGGAGTCCAACAACATAACTATTACACCACCTGCTGGTCCCAAGAACTATGTTTTCTAAAAGCCACCAATGATGACTGAAGGCGCATGCCTCCCTCCACACAACCGGGGCTTTCAAGTGGGTAAAGCAAACAGACTGCCCTGGCTGGTATGGCACTTCTGCTTCTTCGTTCTAGGAATCATGTTCTTATTGTCTCAAATTAAATACAAACACACCATCGTTGGGTCCATAGCAGACACCTCGCTTATTTTTCCTGTTCTTGTTTTCTGTTGCTTATTTTTCAGTTTGATACAACCATAACGATCTGAGTCAATGCAGACTCAATCTCCCCATCCACACTGGGACCCCTTTGTCACACTCGAGTATCCCTAGGCAGCTCTGAGATACAAAATCCTCATTCAATTTCTTGTCCCTCTCATTTTAATCCACTCAGACCTCCTCTGACAAAAGGGCTACAGCCAGACCTGAGACATTTTAGCTCCTCATGGGGAAATGAAATTGATTTTCTTCATTTTCACACAAGAGGATCCCTGGGTAACAATATTGTGTCCAGCCATATCCATAATAAAGAAAATGTAGACAGCATTCTTTACTGTACCGGAGGATGAAAGGTACTGCGGAGTCCCGTATTGGAGTAAGCATTCAGCCCATGCTATTAGACCCTGAATTTAACAACTGCAAGGGTGACTTCTGGCCAAAGACTAAGTGCTGTGGGGCATCCCCATCTGCTCCAAATCAGCCACATGCGCAGTCAGATGGCGTCCCAAGGAAGAGAGGATCCCTTCTCTTTCTGCCACATCTGACTAAAAGAACCAATCCTTTCTACCTTTGGTCTTTTGACTTTAAGGTAGAGCACATCTGAGGGCAATTTCCAATGGGAAAATTACAGAGAAAAACAACAGAATTTCAGGAACCTTTATCTACCTTTCCCAACTTCCAAATTCATTCATTTGTATGAATTCCAAAAAGAAAGTTTAAATGGTTTATATCTAAAGACAGACTATCAAATATGCATAATATATATTATATGTAAAAGCTACTATTAGCTTTTATAATAAATATTTTATATGTATACATACATATTTTTATATATATATATATATAATTTGCTATAGGGCATGTGTGCTTGCCAGAGAGAGACAGAAAGAGAGGAAAAGTAAGAAATCACCCTCCTGGGGGGATGGCCATTTTGCAATCCCTTCTCCTCCATTCTCCTCTCATGATATTGGAGAAGCACACACATAAGCCCGGAGTGTTCTTTAAGCTGCAGGGTATGGGACTCACACCACACAGCAGTCATGTGGGATCCAGCCACCTTAACCACCACGCTGCTGGCTGGCCCTCAATATCTTTTGAAGATGATCACTATGCAGCTGCAATAAAAGCTGAGGTGCTCTGGTTGAAGGACGGATGTAAGCCTGCAGTCCCACTAGCTAAGCCTCCCTTGCCCCAAAGCCAACCCCACTTGTGACACCTGTTCTATCAACCTACATTTGACAGCCAATGACCCAGAGGAAGAACACAGCAACACAGAATGTGCACACTGGCATTCAGAAATCTCCTGGCCCTGGCTACCACCAGGGAAACCTTCAGAAATAGCTCTCATGGCTTTCATGGGAAGAATGTATCATGTAATGATAATTCTTTCAATGTACAGCATAGAGTTCAAAAAATATTTCAGCTTCTCAAGTGTCTTCTGCTAGTTCTTATTCGTTCATATTTCTACTGCATAAACATAGTGCAAGACATTTTGGATAGAGTTCCACAATACACTCTAAATATTAAGGTGCATAATTTTCCATATTTTCCCTAAGTTCTTCCACTTAGCATGTGCTTGCTAGTTGATACTCTGAAAAACTCTTCTTCCATGAGGTAGAAAAGTACAGCCTGCTCAAAGTCTAAATTTCCTGACATAACAGTCAATCATTAGTTAACCATGAGAACTAACCTGCAGACACGGGCTGGAAAATACAACTTTTGCCAAGAACGACACAGATATTGGGAATGGTCTATCACTCTGATCCAGTCGAGTTCATCCATCGACACTTCAATGAAATATGAATAAGACCTGGGAATCAAAAGGGAAAAAAGGCAGACAGTTAACCATATTAAGATAACAATAAAAAGCTAAACTTTAATAAAATATTAAAAGATACCAAAAAAAAAAAAACACAGAATTCACCAATTACACTTCTGCATAACAATCAAATTTAGACAACGGAAGTCATATGTATCCCTCTACGTTAGCATTCACGATCTACTGGAATTACCTCAGCTTGTCTGTCTGCTTTATCAAGACACCAACTGCTCAAGAACAAAGAGTGTATCCGATTTATCTCTATAAATATGATGCTTGGCATATATCAGACACACAACACATTTGCTCCTTTTCAAACATGGCCAGGATTGTCCCAAACTACATTAGCAGATTGAGAAAGCCGTGAGAGAGAGAGAGAGAGAGAGAACAAAACAGCAGGAAATCAGAGCCTATGCCCTCTCCTCTACCTTCCCTGGCCGGGGTGCTCAGCCCTCCCCTCAGAGGACAGAAGCCAACTTGGGATGTATCTCCCTCCTCCCAGAGGCCAGCTTCTCTCCAGCTGCCTCCCAAGTCTCCTACCATCCCACACATACAAGCAGCCCGCAGAAAAAATAAATGACTCGGGTGAGGAGATAATGTGTGCTTCTTTGGGTACAACTTAAAACTTGCCAGCTAATAACCCAGCAGTAATGAAAATGGCCTATCATTCTCCCCCGGTCAGCTACCCTGGACCACTACATGCTGGTCCCATCCTGAACAAATCTATATTCTCCTGTCATAAGGCAAATTTAAATTTGAGATGCGGTTATTACTTGCACTGTAATATCAACAGGAACAATCTCAGAAGATTTAGGTGACCATAAATGTCAGCTTGCAACCCACAGTTGTGACCAGGAAAGGTCAGCTTATTTTGTGTCATCCCCTCATTTTCTGCTGTCCCCTCACTCCCATTCATTTTATCGCTCAGTCTCAAACTGGCTATAACCTTTTATTGAACCTCTCTGGGTTATCAGTAATGCAGGATATAATTTTACAACACGTCAGAATCTTTTTGGCTTAAGATTCTGAATTTTTCACCTTTGCTTAGAATGATAATTTCTATGAGAAAAGAACAGTTACGTGGTAAAGTCCCCTGTGAATCCAACGCACATACTAAAACAAAGTGGCCTATAAATATTTAACATCATGGAAACGATAACTACTTCCAGTTTCAAACATACTAACCTTTTCTTTTATTATTTTATACTAATTTCATTATTAATTAAATGAGTGAAATACATAAAGCTTTTATAACAGTGCCTACCACATAAAAGTAATGAAAGTGCTATATAAGTATTATTATTATACTGCTATTAATCAGACCCTTGGAAATGATTTGTGAACTAGCTCCACTTTGACAGGCATCAAATAATATCCAACTAAATAGATATACTTAATAAAAAAAAAAAAAGAAACAGGGGGCCAGCCCCATAGCACAGTGGTTAAAGGAGCCAGATCCCAAATGGCCAGCAGCAGTTTGAATCTCATCCCACCCCCCACGGCTTGAAAAACACACCAGACACGTGTAAGTACATGCCCCCAAGTCTGGACCAGATCAAGAAATGGAGGAAAAAGGACTGCAAGGTGACTATATCCCTCTGAGGGGTACTTTCTCCTTTTTTCTCTTTCTCTACGGCAAGTGCAAAAGCCCTGTGGCAATGAAAAAGAACCACAGAGAAATAACCTAGAGACCGTGGGTACTTATGCTGCGGGGAAAGACAGTTTCCATTTCATAAAGCTTCCCTCAGACTGGGCTCCAATGGCCAGAAACGCCAGGGTGGTGGCCGAGGTGCTAACGAGAGAGAGGAACTGCCTTCTGAGTGTTGCAGGTCTTTGTCACCATTATTACTAAGTTCTTTGTTCTCAGACCCAAAGAGGCAGAAATGGGGCCTAGTTTCTGGTCATGCAGGGTTTAGGTTAATAACAAGCAGCACAGGAGGAATAGCTCGGTCACCCACACTGCTCTGGCGCTTCTGCCATGGACGATCCCTGGAAACCACACAGGGTGAAAGCACCACAGTGGCTGGCAGAAGGCAGAACCCTGATGCCACTGAGAAACTGGATGCATTCCGGGCAGAAGTCCAACGAGTTTTTTCCCAAATTTCTTTTGTTCTGAGGATGATTATCCACACACTGACAGACAATTTTTGTCTTCATCCACAGGACAAAAATAATTTTTGTTCTAAGAGTGTACCATAGGGCATGTGTGCTAGACAGAGAGAGGGAAAGTGAGAAATCACTCCCTGGGGATTATGGCCATGCTGCAATCCCTTCTCTTTCATTCTCCTCTTGAAATTTTACACATGCGTGCACATGCACCCAACGTGATTTTCAAGTTGCCAAGTCCGGGGCTCGAGTTGCAGTCAGCCACACGGAACTCCAGCACCTTAACCATCATGCCATCTGCTGGCCCCAAAATGTATTTTATAAGCTCTTACAGTATCTAAAAGTAGGGAACCTAGTAAATAAATCTTTATATGGTATAACATCAGACAATAATTACAACAGTATTTTAGAAGAATGCTTTTAAAAAGTAGAATGCTAGAGGCTGGCAAGTGGCATGGTGGTTGAGGGTGCTGGACTCCCACATGGCCAACCACGGTTTGAGTCCTGGAACTGGTGGCTTGCTTTCACACTTTCCTCTTCTCTCTCTCACTGTCCCTCTCTGACCAAATTAAAAATAAATTAATTTTTAAAAAAAGGGGAATGCTGGGGGTCAGCAGGTGGTGTGGTGGTTAAGGTGCTGAACTCCAACATGGATGACCACAGTTTGAGTCCCGGACCTGGCAGTTTGAAAAATCACATTGGGTGAGTGTGCAGGCGTGCCAAAAATCCCAGGATGGGAATGGAGAAGAAGATATTTCAGCAAGGCCATCCGTCTGGGGGGGAGGGTGATTTCTCACTTTCCCTCTCACTGTCTCTCTTTCTGTCTCTCTCCAGCAAGCACATGTATTCTATGGCAAAAATCTTTAAAAAGTATGGAATATACTCAAACTACTAATTAAAAAGTGAATTAGGGACAAACAGGTGACATGGAGATTAAAGTTCTAAATACCACATGACCAACTCCACAGTTCGAGTCCCAGATGTGGCAGCTTGAAAATCCTGCCAGGTGTAGGTGTGTGCCTAAGATCCCTACAGGAGAATGGAAGAGAAGGGGTTGCATTGTGACCATCCCTCCTAGGGGTGATTTCTCACTTTCTCTCTGTCTCTCTGTGTGTCTCTGGAGAGTATAAGCACCCTATACAAAAACTTAAAAAAAAAAAAAAGTGAAGTCAGCTTTTTTTCATAGCTAATTCTTATTTTGTAAAACTATGTGCAGGTTTCTGCTTTGTCTGCATGAGTGATCTTTGCATAATAAAAACAAAAGTACTAGTTAGGGGCCAGCAGATGATATGGAGGTTAAGGTGCTGCATCCCACATGGCCAGCCGTGAGGTTTGAGTTACAGACCTGGCAGCTTGAAAAATCACGCCAGGCACATGTGTGTGCATGCCTAAAATCCCAAGAGGAGAGTGAAGAAGAATGGACTGTGGCATGGCCATTGCCCCTGGGGGGTGATTTCTCACTTTCCCTCCCTCTCACCCTCTCTCTCTCTTTCTCTCTGTCTCTCTCAAATGAATGCCCTTTAGCAAAAACCTAAAAAGAAAAAAAAATGCTAGTTAGATACATCTGAAGATTAATTATAGGTGGTGAAATGATTAGCAATTTTTATTTTCTTCCTTGAGCTTTTCTGTATTTTCTATGTATTCCATCATAAGCACATGTTAATTACTCTTATAAAGCAGCAAATAAAGCAAAGCAAACATTATTTTTTACAGAATATACCCTCCAGAATTGATCTTCAAGAAAATAACACCATGATCACAAAGAAATAAACTGTCAAAATCTATAAAACCAAAGGAGCTGACCACAAAGTTAGGTCCTCTCAAACAGAATGTCGCTTTCTCTCTACGTCATGCTAATGACTCACCGGCTATCCCGGTCCCACAGGAGTATCCGAATGTGATTGATAATTGATGGCTGGCCTAGTTTAATCTCAATGCCAGAACGGCAGTCGTCGTCAATTGGGTGCCTAGAAAACCCATGATCCAAATCATAATTTTGGGTATCACCATCTAATAAGGCAGACTTCAGCTCCCCTTTTACAACCTGGGCTCCATACTTCATAGTTGCAATGTTTTCTTCTGGTACTACAGTAAAAAGAAAAAACAAAGAAAGAAAGAACAGAAAAAAAGCAAGGTTAATGGTTACTTATTTTATATTTTTGGAAAAAGATAAAACTATAGCATCGTAATTTAGTCAAGTATCTGTTTTTAACTTTAAAATGGCATATGCAAGTCTATGGGGATAGGAGTTACAGAATGCCTACTAGAATTAAGACACCATCCAGAGTTTAAATTTAATATCACTCTCATAGCTGCAATGTGCCTGGGACTAATGTTGTTACAAAAAAGTTAACAGTGCTAGAAACAGCATGGTGGGGACAAACAAATCAGCTCTGCTAAGTTCACTCTATTAGTAGCTTTAATTTAATACCCACTGGACAGAAGCAGCATGTTAAGAAGACCTGAACCTGCCATCTGGACTGAGGATAATGCATAAAAGCAAAGCGAACAGGTCAGAAATCTGGAAAAGCAACAGGAAAAGAAAGGCTCCACTACAGCATAGCTGTTAGTCATACACTGACGTGCTGGATCAATTAATCTAGCTGAGAGAAAAAAAAAAAAAAGGCTATGTTAAAAGAAGATATATTTTTTACTTCACTTGAGAATACTTTTTTTAATGAAAATCCAGGTCCGGCTGCAATGGTATAGCAATAGGGTACCATTCTGCAATGCTAGCCCCAGAGGAAAGATGGAGGTTTAGTTCTAGTTCCCAGGTCAACACTGTGCACGCCGTACACAAGGGCATCCATGGTCCTCACTGGCTGGGAAGGGCAGAGGAAGGGTTGTGGCATGAGACCTTGTTGAGGGTGCTTGTCTTTCCCTCTGTCTCTCTCTCCCTCATATGAAATTATTAAGTGGGACTAGTCAGTGGTGTGGTGGTTAAAGAGGCTGCATCCCAACATTTCTGACTGCATAGTTCACGTCTTAGACCTGATGGCTTGAAAAACACACTGAGCACATGCGTGTGCATGTCCAAAATCCTGAGAGAATGAATAAAAAGAGACTGTAGCATGGCCATCCCCCCCTGGGGTTGCCTCTCACTTTTGTTCTCTCTGTGTCTGTGTGTGTGTGTGTGTGTGTGTGTGTGTGTGTGTGTGTTTTGCTCTCTGGGGAACACATGTGCCCTTACAGCAATTTTTTTTTTTAAAGTAATAAGTAAACTTTAAAAGAAAAAAGTCTATTGGGTCAGGTTTGTGGTGCAGAGGTAACACACTGCTCAAGGGATGCGAGATCCTTCTGGAAGATCAAGGGTTCGGTTCTGTAGTCGAATGTTACACCCTGGGCCTGAGGACCCATGATACTAGCTGGCTGGAAGGCTTAGGCGGGTAGCGGTGTGAGACCCTGTTTCAGGTGAGGACGCCTGTCTCTGTCTCTCTCCCTGTCTCCTCCTTCACTTGCTCCCTCCCATATAATATATACTATATGCTGAGCATTGTTCTAAGCACTTTACAAACATTAATTCCTTTTATTTATACCTCACAATAATCCTTTGAGTACAATACTACCATTATAATCATTCTGCAGGTGAGAAGTGGAGGCAGAAAAAGGTTAGGTGGACTTACTTGCTCAAGGTCACATGGCCAGAAAGTAGCAGAGTTGAGATTAGAACCCACGCTGTCTCTGTCTGTTTCCAGGGGCCCTGTCTTTAACACAATGACCTGCCACCTCATCTTATCACGGGTCTCTGATTGGATGACAGTATCTGTCACTCGAAGAATGCGTAACACCCAGAGGGGAAAAAAGGGATAGCCTGATAGTGGGGAAGGAATGGTGGACTCAGAGTGAAAACACCAAAGTTTGAGACTTGGGCTCTACTGCTCCCTTCTCCAGAGTAGGCCTTTTACTCTCTCTGAATTTGTTTTCTAAAATTAACAATCCTTTGCTCAAACCACCTCATAAAAATTACACTACAATAATACATATTAACATGCTGTCTACGTGTGAAGTGTTAAATCAATCACAAAGCATGTACCGAAGCCTCATTCTGTACCACGTACTGCGCAAAGCACAGGGAACCACCTGCTGACGCAGGGAGCAATAGGCCCGGCTTTCCTGAAGACACCAGCCTAGCGCTGAAGCATTTTATAAACAAGCAAACACACAGAAGCTTCAAACCTGCTTTTCCAGGTACAAGGAAATGGATCCCTCCTGCTATTAAGAGTATGAACCATGGACATGAGTCTGTAGTGCTGACCACTGCAACAGCCTCCTCCAGGGCTGACGCGAAGAGGCAAGACTAAGCCGAAAAGGAGCCCCAGAATCGTTCAGATTTAGAAACTACTACTGCCTTTTGATGTTCTCTAAACATAAGCTTCTCCGGCACTAAGATTTATCAAGTTAGGAATAACACAGTAGGCACAAAAGTTTCAAGTATCTGTAACCAAAGACTAAAACAGGAATGAAATTTCTACTACAAGTTTAAGCCTTGTTTTGAAGTTTATTTCAAGAGTACTTGAGAACTTATCTAACCATTCTCGATACAGTCATTCCCCGAGAGTATGTTTCACTTCGAAATGGAGACCATTTATACAAGTGGAAATTCTCTCAAGGTAACTATAATGTCAGTATCTCACTGGATAAAAATACAACTCAAGTACTTCTGCAAAATCTATAGCTAAGTGATAAATTTAAAAGGAAAAGTGATCATGATAAAATTCAAATAATGAAATAATTCAAAACATAAATATTTTTAGTGCTCATACTTGTCTATCACTAGGAAAAAAGGCTCTCAAAAACCACAAGGTGGTGAGATTAAACAAGCTAGTAGATAACAATCCATTTTCTTCACACTGTCATTTTTATACATTTTATAAACATTGAGGGGGGAAAAAAAAAAACTTTGAGGCTCTTTGGCTAGGTAGAAACCAGCCAATTATTAGAAAGAAAAACTTAGGCTGAATGAAGTAGCTCCTAACTATGGAGTACCAAAATCTGAGTGGTGTTGGGTTAATTATTTCGTGTCTTTAATTGCTTTACATTCTTTAATCACTCTTTCAGACTTTTACAAGTAGACTGAAATGGTTGTTCACCCCTGATGGATTATTTGGCCAACTCTAGACCTAAATAATATGTTCACTGCAATCTCTTTACCCTCTTCTGGCACCTAACTTATCTTCCACTCCGATCCCGACTTCCCTGAAAGATGCATAGCTCCCCACCCTTCCTACGAATACTCCCCAACAACTCGGGCATTACGAATGACACTGTCTCATCTGTGACTTTCCCCCCACTCTGCAGGCCTTCTCTATGCATACTGGTATTCAAACACACAGAGAATGGAATGCAATCTATAGAACATCACTGGCCTCAGGAGTCACAGAACCACAACTCTGGTTCCAGCTCAGGCAACAACTTCACCAGGGAACTTGAGACAAGTTACTTTAAAAGAAAGAAAAAAACATTTAATAGACAAAACAATGTAAAGTTCTCTGTTGAAAAATAATTGTTCTGTAATTTTAGCTTTATAAAAATAAATAAATAAAGATGAGAGAGCAGAGGGCTGGATGATGGCACAGCCTTAAAACTCAATGCTCTGGGGCCAGCAGGTGCATGGTGGTTAAGGCACTGGACTCCCAGGTGGTGGACTACGGTTCAAGTCCTGGGCCTGGCAGCTTGCTTCCTCTCTCTCTCTTTCTCTGGTGAGCACATGTGCTCTCTAGCAAATTTAAAAATAATAATAATAACAACAATAAATAAATAAAGTTAAGTAACTAGTTCTTTCAAAACAAACAAAAACTTCACTGCTCTATGAGGCTGATCCACATACAGAGGCCTCCCTGGGTACACCAGACATGCTCGTACCCATGATGTAAATAAATAAATACAGAGATAAAAGGGACCTTCGTCCTATTTATTTAAGGGAAAAAAGTCCTAATATTCCTCCTAGGTGAAGATCATTGCTGGGGACTCAGCCCTCCATAGCTCACCGTCTAATGACACAAGAACACATATGCAGACACAGGAATGCTCCAGAACGCTCCACAGAGGAATATTCAGTACACATCATCCATAAACCTCCTAGTTTGCAGATGAGAGATTCCCCAATACAACACATGGGGAAGATCCAACAGTAACAGAAGTCAAAGAGTTTTTAAATTATTTTTATTGATGTTTTTACATGATAGGTGAGAAAGTTCTTTTTTTTTGTTTTGTTTTTTTGTTTTCGGTTTCTTTTTTTTTTTGCTATAGGGCACGTACACTTCCTAGAGAGAGATGGTGAGAGACAGTAGGAGGAAAAGTGAGAAATCACTCCACTGGGGGTCTGGCCACACCGCAGTCCCTTCTCACCATTCTCCTTCTGGGATTTTGGGCACACATGTACCCAGTGTGATTTTCAAGCCACTGGGTCTGGGACTCAAACCATGGTTGGCCATGTGAGAGTCCATCGCCCTAACCACTATGCCACCTGCTGGCCTTGAGGTGAGATGGATTTAAATTTTAGTTTAGAAGCAAGGGATGATTTATTCAGTCACTTTTTTTTTTTTTTAAGAGAGATTTTTGCTATAGGGGGCATGCACTTGCCGGAAAGACAGAAACCAAGAGATCACCCCTCAGAGGTGATGGCCACACCCCAATCCCTTCTCCTCCATTATCCTCTCAGGATTTTGGGCATGCACGCACATGTGACCAGCATGAGTTTTAAGCCAACGGGCCTAGGACTCGAACCACAATTGACTATGTGGGAGTCCAGCATTATGCCACCTGCTAGTCCTTTTCTTTTTTTCTTTTTTCTTTTTTTTGGAGAGGTTTTTGCTATAGAGCGCATGCACTTGCCAGACAGACAAAGAGAGAGAGAGACAGAAAGTGAGAAATCACCCCCCAAGGGGGATGGCCATGCCGCAATCCTTTCTCCTCCATTTTCCTCTCGGGATCCTGGGCATGCACGCACATGTGACCAGCATGAGTTTTAAGCCACCGGGTCTAGGACTCGAACCCCAGTCAACTACATGGGAGTCCAGTGACATAGCCATTACGCTAACTGCTGGTTCCCTCATTTTTTTTTTTAATGTCTAGTTCAGGCACTG